GGAGACAACAGATGCTGGAGAGGATGTGGAGAAATGGGAACGTTTTTACACTGTTGGTGGGAGTGTAAATTAATTCAACCACTGTGGAAGACAGTGTGGTGATTCCTCAAGGTTTAGAACGAGAAATACCATTTGAGCCAGTAATCTCATTACTGGGTATATATCCAATGAATTAAAAATTGTTCTATTATAAAGACACATGTGCACATATATTTATTTCAGCACTGTTCACAACAGCAAAGACTTGGAATCAACCCAAATGCCCATCAGCGATAGACTGGATAAAGAAAATGTGGCACATATACACCATGGAATACTATGCAGCCATAAAAAAGGATGAGTTCATGTCCTTTGCAGGGACATAGATGAAGCTGGAATCATCATTCTCAGCAAACTAACACAAGAACAGAAAACCAAACACCACATGTTCTCACTCATAAGCGGGAGTTGAACAAAGAGAACACATGGACACAGGGAGGGGAACATCACACACTGGGGACTGTCAGGGGGTTGGGGGAAGGGCAGGGATAGCAGGGGGTGGGGGGATAGGGGAGAGATAGCATTAGGAGAAATACCTAACATAGATGATGGGGTGATGAATGCAGCCAACCACCATGGCACATGTATACCTATGCAACAAACCTGCATGTTCTACACGTGTACCCCAGAACTTAAAGTACAATTAAAAAAACAAAAAGAAATAGCATTCAGATTTTTGGGTCCCAGTGCCCATGCCCGGTCTGTGAGTTTGCCTATCAACAACATGAACAGGGAACACGCCGGCCTCTGCTAGGCTCAGGAAGAGTGGCCCTGGAAGGACAGCTTCCTGTCCTCCACAGTCCTGCCACTGAGCATCCCACCGTCACCTCAGGGACGGGTGGGTAGGGGCTGGAGGTCACTGGGATATCAGTGTGGTGCCCATCAGCTTTGCAGGCACTGCAAGCCTCAGTCGTTGGAGGAAGCCTGGTTACACTCTGGCTCCACACCCAAAAGCACTCTGGTCACGGGGCAAGAAGAATGAGCACAGCCTTCCGGGAGGGGTGGTTTCCCAGGAACAGCACCCGCATGCAGGGAGGGACTCTGGGAGGAGGTGCTGAGTGAGCTCCATGCTTCTCCTTGGGAGAACCGCAAGCCTTTCTAGACGCAGAGGGAGCGGAGCGCAGGCCGCTAAGGCCCACACAGCCCCCCAGGATGAATAAGATAACTTTGGTTGCAAAAATACAACAAAGAGCTGGCTGCATTTTACTTCCCCTTTCACTGTAAAAGTCGAGATTTCAGATTCCCGTTGTATAAGAATTAATATGAAAAGAATTTTGTATCCTATTATGGCATTGTGTTATAATAATGGAATGCTTTCCCCGCCCAATCTGGCTTACTGTCCCCTAGATCTTGCCAACGATTATTCAGTTCCACAGTGTGTGAGTGTTGCTGCGGGGACAGCCTCCTGAGCCTGAAAGAGAGAGGCCGTGAATGCTTCGAGCTGGAAAACCAGGCACAGTCCGTTCTTCGCCCCAGGCACCCTCTCTATGCACACTCAGACACACGCACTTCACCCAGAGGTTTTACTCTCTTCCAAGCTAGATGGACCTGCATGGGAGGTTTAATACTTGGACAACTGCAGCTGTATCAGCAGCTAATTGTCCTGACGAGACACACAATGGGTTCCAGAAAAGGAAGACAAAATACTCTTTAAACTGTGCTGCATTCTGTTTGAAAATGGAGAGTCTGGGCAAAGGGTTTTTCTTGACAAACCAGAACAGAGGTGTTGTTGCTGTATTTTGATTTTGCTTGGTCACTAGATCTTGTTCCCCTGAGCACAAAGATTTGACAGAGTTTCTCCAGAATTTACCAATTCAAAACATCCTGAACAACTAAGCAGGGGTGGGCGAGGCGAAGATGTGCTTTTAACTCGTCACATGTCTGCAGGATTAAGGAAAAACCAGTAACTGGTTCTTTTCCATGGCCACCAGAACAGGGCAGGGAGAAATGAGCTTCAGCTGCAGCAGGTGGGATTCAAGTGAGACATGAGGAAAGTTTTCCAGCCTCAGCAATGCGGACTAGAATGTATCACTGAGTAGGATGCTGAAACTGCGGAAGATCGATGATGAGGATGCTGAAACACTGGCTGATTTACGCATAGTAAAGGGTGGAACCCTTGGATTCTACGGAAACTCCTGGCTGGTTAGGTGCTGATAATAGTGTTTTGTTTCATTCTGTTTTGAGATTTCTAGTTGCTGGGTTCCCATCATCACCTATTTCCCTCAAATCAGCTCCCTTAGAATCTCCCTATTTGGAGGGAGAGTGCTGTTCTCCATTTCCGCTAGGCCACTTCCATCCTCACCGGCCCTTTATAATCTTCAGTAAGGAAATGCCTCTCAGGCTCACTCTTCCTTCCCTGCCCTGGCACAGAACCACAGATTCCCAGCGTTGAACAATGGCTATGGAAGATGTATCTGGTTGAGTTTGTTGTTTGTGTGTTGTTTTTGGTTTTTTTTTCTTTTCCTTTTTCTTAGTAGAATTCCTTCAATTACCTGTATGTTTTCAGCAGCCAGGCCAATCCTCCTCCTCACAGGGGTGAGATCAGCAAACCCAGGAAACTTTCAGAGCCAAGAAAGCCTCAGACTCAGGAGGAAGCCACTATGGATGCCCATGGCTGAAGTGTTCTGTGTCTACCGGAAGTTAAAGGGGAAGTTTCCTGCCCAAGGATGCACAGAGGGTGTGAAATCATGTGTGGCTGCACTGAGGCTAACAGCTGCCAGCCAACTGTAGCCAGTTGGGGATATCAACCTCTCAAAACCAAAACAGGTGAAAAATGGCTCCCCATTTTCTGAAGTACTCTTGGAGCAGAAGCTGAATGAAAACCAGTCATCATTGCCCTGCCTAGCATGAAGCAGAATGAAAAGAAGGCAGATAATATTTCCTACCCTGAACCACTCATCCATCTCTGTTCTGTTCAGGTATTTGTGCCTAAGCAATAGCACCTACCCTTCTCAGCATTCACCCCCAGACCCCCGAAACCAAGCCCTAGCACAAACAACCCCACTGAACTTGAAAACTCGAAAAGCCATCCTGAACATCTCCAGGATTCTTTCCTCTGCAACTTCCCTCCTTCTTCCTCATCGCCAATTATACCACCAAAGTACTTAAAACTGCTCAGAGGTAGGCAAACTACCCTGAAAGTGCTCGCACCTATTTCTTCCTTCCCTTATGGATGACATTCTACAATAATTCCATTACATTTACAGAAAAGTTATTTCAATACATCTGTATATTAAATATATATGTATATACACATAGCTTTTATATCACTGTCACGGTGTTACATACACTAAAGAGAGGAATTATTTAGCTCAGTACAGTTATCTAAATTAGTCATTGCTGGCACTGAACTAGGTACTATGCAAATGGATTACAATGCAAATATACAAGCTATATACAAGCTTGTAATTTTGAAAATATTCAAACTTAACATTTACTGTTATGTTTCAAGATGTGCCTACACCTGCCCATCACGACAGTGCTGTAGGTCAGTTTCTCTGACACTCAGGTGTCCATCAGATCTCCTGATGAGCCATAGGCCCTCAGAGAGGTCTACATGGTACCTACAGGTCAACAGATGGCATGAACAAGTGCATTTCCTACAGCTGAAGACTTTGAGAACATCTAGAATGCTCTCTGATGCTCAGCAGAAGGTAGACATGAGCCCAGACACCCAGCTTGACCCCAGCCTGCACCAGCCACTCCTTCAGGATGAACCATATGACATTTAGTACATATCAGCCGAACGCCGCAAACTCAGGGAAACATACATTAAAAATAGGTCACAGGTAGTATACTTCTTGAACACAGAAGCATTGTCTTATAAACTAAGTAACTTCATTGCCTGGTAAAATTTCTGTTTCACCATAGTTAATAAATCCTGGCTGCTGAATCAATGCATGAATAAATTTTGTCAAGCCTCAAATACCAGAAAGCCATCAAGGAGCTCCGAAAAGGTGAGGAGAAACAAGGCGTGGTATGTTAGTGTTGGTAGGAAAAAGACAAGTTTGTAGGGCCGTGGGTGAATAGGATTTGGTCCACAGATCTGGAGCAAATGCAAAAGGAGAATTAGTTGTTAAATTACCTACATTGTCCAGTACCTCTATTACCCAAATGTGCATGATAAGAAAGACTGACCCAGCCACTGCCTAGGATATGAAGACCTAAGACAGCCAAGAGAGGAAGTATACACACCCACTCGGAGTGCAACTTGGTGGTTAAGCAGCTCATAGAAGGTGACCTCCCACAACACATTTCCTTCACAATATGTACCCAATGGGGATGGAGGGGATTCTTCCGGGTCTGAAGCAATGAGCTGTGCTCTGTGCCTTTCTGTGGGAAAGGAGAGTGTGGGTGTGCCCATAAAAACATGCGTGTGTCCATGGATGCCTGGTCAGTCCCACAGAGCCTCTGAGAGACAGAACTGGACCAATGGTGATTATCATCATAATTAGAATTGTTACTGCTAGCAGTTGTGTTAGTCCAGTGATTGGACTGAATGATGAGCATAAAGAAATGTTAAATAATAATAGTTTCATATGACAGATGGAAAAGAAAAACATAGATGGATGCAGAAAAAGTAAAGGAAGCACTTGCTTTGATTTATAGACCTTTACCGATGTTAAGAAATCAGTAGTGTGGCATTGGAATCTATACTTAGGGCATATTTAGTGTCTATTAAATACATGTAGATCTTGCTTCTTGGCACCAAATGAGTACAGTTGGAACAACTGCAATATCCACAGGAATTTTAAAGTACATTGAAATGTACATAACTATTTTTAAAGATGTTTAAAAACACCCTTGACCCCCATCCTGGCCAACATGGTGAAACCCCGTCTCTACTAAAACTAGCTGGGCGTGGTGTCGAGTGCCTAAAATCCCAGGTACTCGGGAGACTGAGGCAGGAGAATCACTTGAACCCAGGAGTTGGAGTTGCAGTGAGCCAAGAATGTGCCACCGTGCTCCAGCCTGGTGACAGAGCAATACTCCATCTCAACAACAACAACAACAACAAAAAGCAAAGCACCTCTGACCCGTTACTACAGTGCCCCAAACCCTTTCTCATTTGAAAGCCAGTAACAATATCTTCACCAATTTGTATTCCTATGTTCCCAGGGGGTCAGGGCAAGACTGGAAAAACAGCCAGGCTACACATTTGCATCAAACAATAGAGAAACAGCCTTTATGAGGGACAGAACATGAGGAGAAGGGACGGGGTAAAGGAAAGAGCACAAATAGGATTGTGCCTCAGCGGAACATCTGAGGTTTACCACCATTCCATCAACTGCATCCCCAGCAAGCCGATAACGATGAGCCTTTAATGCATTTGCTGCCTCTGACTTGCGCGGCCCAGCATGCAATCATCCAAATGATACCACAACAATACCGGAGCACACATTAACCACTTACTGTAATAGCTGGACTGCTGAGCAAGAGACATCAAAGGACGCAGAACAGCAAGCATTAAGGGTGGCTTCGACTGCGTGTGCACACTCGTGTCAAGCCGTGGTGTGGGCTCCAACAGCTATGTAGTGATGACTGCCGTGAGATCACTGAAGAAGGAAATGGAGCATCAAAAGGTTACTGATGGGACCTCCCTATTTTTAGGTAAAAAAATGTATTACACCAAAAGTGAACCCTAATGTAAACTGCGGACCTCGGATGATAAGATGTGTCAGTATAGGTTCCATTGTAGCAAATGTACCCTTCTGGCGCAGGATATTTACAGTGGGGCGGGTGGTGTGGAAGGGAAGGGGATATATGGGATATTTCCATACCATCTTCTCAGCTTGACTGTGACTCTAAAACTGCTCCAGGACACAGACTCAATATATAAATAAATTCCAAATGTGGGGTCCAGAGAGGTGTACGATATTCCCTGCAGTAAATAGCGTTCCTCACACATCAAGTGGCCTCGTGCAGGTAAAGATAAAAGGGTGCAGCATCAAACATCTGGGTGTCTGCAGCACACTATCCCAACTCCCACTCCAAAGAAAATGACCCCAAAGATTTTCCTGTTAACATATTTCCAGGTATCAAAATCTTATGCTTTCAAGCATCAGATACCTTGAAAGAATAGTTGACGTTTTCGTTATCATTACTCTTAAAAGTCTTAATGGCTCTGTGTTATTTTCCTGTGGCTGCTGTGACAAATCACTACAAACTTTGTAGTTAAAGTAAACACCAGTTTATTATCTTACAGGTCTGTAGATCAGAAGTCTGGTATGGATCGTAGCGGACTGACGTCTAGGTGTTGGCAGGCCGCGCTCCATTCTGAAGGTCCCAGAAGAGACTGAACATCCTATTCATTCAGGTGGTTGGCAGAATTCCTTGCACTTGCAGGACTGAGGTCTCTATTTTCTTCCTGCCTATAAACTGAGAACAGTTCTCTGTATCTAGAGGCCACCACATTCCTTGGCCTATGGCCCTCTTCCTCTATCTCCAATATCATATCTCTCTGACTCTCTTCCTGCTGGCTCTTTGACTTACAAAGACTCATGTGATTAAACTGGGCCCACCCAGATCACCCAGGATAACCTCCCCATGTCAAAATCTGTGTCCTTAGTCGCAACTGTTCAGTCCCTTTTGCCATGTAAGATAACATATTCACAGGTCTGAAGGATTAGGGCAGGTACATCTCTGAGGGGTAAGGGGTATTCTGCCTACCACACTCTCCTGAACCCACTAATACATGGCCCTTATCCACAATGCTTCTGAAACTCATTTCGCTAAAGTCTTCTTGGACACTTGAATGCCAAATCCCTCCTTATCCACATGTGACCATTCTGCAGTGTGTGACATGGACATGACCTAATTCTTGAAGCACTTGGCTTCTACGTGCTGTAATACTATCTGCTGCTCTCCTCCTACTCGTTGGGCCATCTCTTATTGTGACCTGAATTCATTTCTCTGCTTTCTTCTTCTGTCTCTACATAGGGTGGCGGCACCTATACATCTCAGGTCTGTGTCCAGATCTCTAGGACCTTGGTTCCCAATCACAACTGCCTTCTGAGCTCTGCTTGGATGACACATAGGCTCCTTTCTGTCTCACACATGACCGATTCCTTTTTCTGTGTGATATATCTCATCGTGGCAACACCAAACCTCACTCTTCCATGACAGATGCTTAAAAGTCATTCTCTCCTCCTCCTTCTGCCTCTGCTCACATCCCCCAACCCAGATAATCATAACATTCTGTCTATCTTACCTCCTGAGTATCCCTTCAATCCACTCTCTCCTCTCTTGCTTGCCCCAATATTAGCCCCAAGATCACTGACAACACCCTTGAGTTCCGTGCCACCACTCATGGCCATTCTTCACATTTTCACCAGACACAGGTATGATCGTGTCCCTGCTCTGTTTAAAAACATGAGTTGAGCAGGCAGAGTGGCTCACACCTGTAATCCCAGCACTTTGGGAGGCCAAGGCAGGTGGACTACTTGGGTTTAAGAGTTCAAGACCAGCCTGGGCAACATGGAGAAACCCTGTCTCTACTAAAAATACAAAAAGCTTAGCTGGGGTGGTGGTGCCTGCCTGCAGTCCCAGCTATTCAGGAGGCTGAGGTGAGAGGATCACTTGATCCTTGGTGGTGGAGGTTGCAGTGAGCTGAGAGCAATGCACTCCAGCCTGGGCAACAGAGTGAGACACTGTCTCAAAAACAAAACAAAATTAAAAAACTTGGCTGCTGCCCATTGTGCAACAGCATCAAATCTAGCTCATGGCAATACCCTATGTGCACACATACACCACTAGCCTCTAGGGGTTTGCTGGGTGTATCACCTGCCCTTCCTCCACTTGCTATTCATAGTTCCAGGTCAGTCTATAGACCAGCAGCATCAGCATCACCTGGGAGCACGTTAGAAATACAAACTCTCAGGCCCCAGCCCAGATCTACTTAATCAGACTTTGCATTTTAACAAGATGCCTATTTAAATTTTATGCACATCATTAAAGTTTGAGACACATTGCTCCAGAGCTGTGCTCTCCAGAGTGAGGTATGAGAGGTAAGCTGTTGAGTATGGAAGCATCTTATTAGAAATTCTCCTTATTTTTATGTGTATTCTCCTCCATTTTAACTTGGATTTTTGTACCTCTTTTATGAATCACTGCCAATTTTAACAAATCATCCTGACCCTTGTTTCTGTGCGTTTGCCTACAGTGTTCCTTTTGCAGGGAATAATTTTCCTACTCTCCACTAACCAAAACTAGCTTCCACTAACCAAAACTCTCCAGCATCCCCTGCTCTAGGAGGCTTCCCCATCCCTTCAAATGGGTCCTCACTCTCACTTCCACACTCGTGTAGACATTCTTATTGCATCGCTTCTGTTTGCCTATTCATCTGCTCCACTGGGTCGTAGCCTCCTCAAGGATGAGAACTGTGCAATCTCTATCTGTGTGTCCTGAGAGCGTGGCACAGTGATATTTTCTTAGCGAAACAGATGAACAGCTAAAACTTGAGAAAATTCTGCTATATTGGTAATACCTTGCTATTTTCTCAGGCCTCTATCTGAAATAAAAGAATTTTTGCCTAATCTCTTTCTGAGCTCACACTGCTCTTACCTCTGGCTGATTTTTATTTGGTGACACACCAGCTGGACAGAGGGCTATAAGAAGGCAGGATTTGATCCTCACTTACCTGAAACCAACCCAGAGCGGTTCCAATCACACCCCATCTTCTTCCAGCTCTGTGTCTATCTGGCGTGGATACACACTACAAAGCAGAGGGGGAAACAGACACCTGGATTAGAATGTTTAGTGTCCTCACTTGAAGCTTAATGTATATTTTGAGACCACAGTCATGCCAACACTATTGCCCATATGAGCAAAGGGCAAAGTCCTCATTTTAAAGAAAATCATTTTGTTTTCTGTCAGCTCCAGGATAACATTGGCTGATTCTGACCCTAATTGATAAGCTACTAAATGGTATTAAGTTTATTAGGGGTATAGTCTGACATCTCGAAATAAAATGGTAGCTGATAAATTTTTCAGGTCAGAGTATTTCTCTAAATCATTTACAATGAAACTTGGTATGTGCAGAGGTCAAAGAGACCTATCGCTGGACTAAGGTCCATTTCTTCATATGCAAACCTGAAATAATAGTGCTTACCACATAAGCTTACTGTGAAGGTCTAATGAGGTGATATGTGTAAAAAAATATTACACACTTTAAAACTCTATACAAATGTATTCCATTTTATTAATAACATTTATCTTTTTTTAATGACTCCTTAGATTTCACTTCTTCAGGTAAGCAGTAGGAAGCCTTCTACTCTTTCTTAAATATTTCTTTTTCCTGGCTTTCTGATGTTTTCATCCTCTTTCTTAATTCAAAGGGATCTATACATCCCTAGAATTAAATAGAATTCAACAGTGTGCACAGGATAACTGCTTACAGAATACACCTATGCATTTCACTTATTCCGTTTAATCAGGATTTGAGTAAATTACACATTTCCCCCCTTGACATGTCATGTACTTAGCACTATGTAGAATCAAACTTTAAGCTAAAGGGTGATATCACTTTTTTTTTTTTTTTGATATGGAGTCTCACTCTGTTGCCCAGGCTGGAGTGCAGTGGTGCCATCTCGGCTCACTGCACCATTCCCTTCCCGGATTCAAGCACTTCTCCTGCCTCAGCCTCCCAAGTAGCTGGGAATACAAGTGCCCACCACCACACCCAGCTAATCTTTGTGTTTTTAGTAGAGATGGAGTTTCACCATGTTGGCCAGGCTGGCCTTGAACTCCTGACTTCAGGTGATCCACCTGCCTCGGCCTCGAGAAGTGCTGGGATTACAGGCGTGAGCCACCGTGCCTGGCCCAGGGTGACATCATTTCTTATCACTCTAATATCCCTTGCCTATGATAATAAATTGCCTGCCTCAAACAAGATGGGTGTGCACTTGTTCACGTGGGTAGGTAGGCAGGCAGAGGCTAGGAAAAGGAAAGAAAATAACAGGAAAGATGGAGACTTAAATGTCATTTCTCACTTTGGCCACACCAATATCTATTTTCTGGCCATTTTCTTTCAACTATTCAGTATAGTGAAATAGATGTAAGAGCCATTCAAAATTGAATTCAGCAAACTTAATTAACCACCTACTTCTACACTATGCCAAATTCTACTAAAATGCCAAACGTAAATATTAATACAAAAAAAATCATACAAGACAGAAAAATGGTATATACTAGGGTTAACATATATGAAGGACTATGATAGCAGAGAGGGATTAATTTAGCAGGGAGGGATTAATTAAAGAGAATCAAGAAAGCATTCTCAGAGTATGTGGTTTTCTTTGACGAGAGCCCAAAAGGAGCTGAGAATTGGGTAGGCAGAGATGGACGGGGAAGGGATTTCCATGAAGAGGAACAGCAGCATAAGGGCAGGCATGGGTGTGGCAAAGAGCAATACCCTATACAGAAGCATGAAGTATAGCACATTGTGCAGTGAGTCTATTATTCACGATAAACAGGCTTTGTTAAGGATGGAAAATGAAGACTTTGTATGAGATTTACTTTTGTGTCTTCTTTTTAGTCATGTTAACTGATGTGTAATTTATATACAGTAACGTTTTCCCTAATACGCTTATTTTAACATCTAGCATAGGGCTCCAATGTCTAACAGAATAGTTTGCACATTACAAATATTCAACATATATTAACTAGGGGGATAAGTGGTTTGCCATCAACACGTATTATTCGATGTTATAAACTGACTCCACAAGATCTATTGGTAAGCCATTGAACTGACACGGTAGATAATATTAATGTTTATCTTGATAGTCGTCTTTCAAAGGTCTCTTGATCTCACCAACTTTCTATCTCTTCATGTATGTCAACTTTCTCTCCAGTGTCTCAGGACATTTGGTCTGAAAATAGTTGATAGGATTTGGATATTTGTCTTCTCCAAATTTCATGTGAAATGTGATCCACTGATGTTGGAGATGGGGCCTGGTGGGAGGTTTGTTTTTTTTTTTTATCATGGGTGTGGATCCTTCATGAATGGCTTGGCACACCCCTTATGGTAATGAGTTGAGTTCTTTCTCTGTTAGTTCATGAAAGATCTGATTGCTAAGAAGAGCCTGACAGCTCCTCCTTCTCTCTTGCTTCCTCTCTTGCCATGTGACATCCCAGCTCCCACTGTCCTCACCACGAGTAAAAGGTGGAAGGTCCCAAGGTCCAGACCAGAAGCAGATGCCAACGCCATGCTTCCTGGGCAGCCTGCAGAACCATAAACCAGATACACCTCTTTTCCTTGTAAGTTACCCAGCCTCAGGTACTCCTTTATAGAAAAGTAAAATGGACGAACACAATCGCCAAAGAAAATCCTGAACAAAATGTAAAACAGGATATTTTACTTATTTCTTACTTTGTGATGAATAGACATTTTTTTTCTATTTCTGAATTATTTCTTTTTTTTATTGCATTTTAGGTTTTGGGGTACATGTGAAGAACATGCAAGATTGTTGCATAGGTACACATGTGGCAGTGTGATTTGCTGCCTTTCTCCCCATCACCTATATCTGGCGTTTCTCCCCATGCTATCTCTCCCCAACTCCCCATCCCCCACTGTCCCTCCCCATTTCCCCCCAACAGACCCCAGTGTGTAGTGTTCCCCTCCCTGTGTCCATGTGTTCTCATTGTTCAACACCTGCCTATGGGTGAGAACATGCGGTATTTGATTTTCTGCTCTTGTGTCAGTTTGCTGAGAATGATGGTTTCCAGGTTCATCCATGTCCCGACAAAGGACATGAACTCATCGTTTTTCATGGCTGCATAATAATGAATAGACATTTTCTAACTAATACTTCGCTTGAGGAAAAGGTGGGGTTTCACAGGGAGACTATATTATATTAAGAAAAAAAGACAGCAGTCACATTTATTGCCCAAAGTCAACTTTCATTCACATTCTCTTCATTTATGGGCACACATACAAAGCAGGTGTTATGTGTCCAATTTGGTAGATAAGGAAAAGAACTTTGAAAGCTGAAGTGACTTATTCAAGGTCACCCACACAGATGTATAGGCAGCAAAGACAAGACTAGAACTCAAGTCCTTACAGTGCTCTTGAGATGGAGTTATCAGCAACAGTCACAAGACACTTTTTAATTAAGGTGAAAAAGAGTTGAAATCACCTATTTATGCTGCCTTTGATAAATGTATCTGTCAGAACTCGGTTGTAGAAAATAGAAATGATTTTAGCTATTTTAAACCGAAAGGGATCAATGTTTATACAGCTATTGGAGGGGCTGGAAGGGTAGGCTAAAGGTTGGATCCAGGAATGCCTGCCAGTACTACACTGCTAAACCAGCCTTCAAAGGTGTTGCTCCCTCTACCCCAGTCAGAAGGTAGGGGTGCTACAGGAATGGTTGAGTTCTAGAACTCAATCCCGGAGCTATGAGATCCAGAAACTACCAACATGCTGTTACAATTGCTTCTCTCCTCACATGAAGCTTGTTGCTATACAATAGAATTTTGTTACAGAAAAGCACAGCATCTTCAAGACCTTGTGTTCCAGGAAAAGTAGTCAAAGCTGCAGAATCTGGCCTTTTGTCACATTTCCTCTTTTCAAATCTTGCATGGGGCACATCTAATTGCGGAAACTGCTTTGCATCCATGACTGGCTGCGAGGGATTCCGGGAGATATATAGTTGGAATAGATGCCAAATGCCAATCTATTATACCTACAACCCATAAATTTGGCAATATCAACAGCATCTCCCAAGATAGATAAGAAATGGGATTCTTGGTCTGTGCTTTAAAGGCAGACATCACAGGCAATCTGCATTCAGGTGCCACGTGTGGTTGCACAGGGTGTGCACTCCTTAGAATAGGAAATGAATGAACTCCCCAGGTTGTGCACTAGTCACAGAAACTATGAAAAGAGTGGCCAACCCTGAAGTTACTCAATGAATAGTCGAAGCCAGCCTTCTCAAGAGCTGTCTCCATCAAAGCAGGTCTTGGTTATAGCTTTGACATGGAAAGAAAGCCATACATATGACTAGATTAGAGAGCTACTTAGAAATGGAACATTGCGGAAGATCCATCACCCAAGGTGCTAAGGCCATGGCCACAGGAGGGGGGTCAAGTGGAAGTTAAGATTGACTTGAGAACCTGATAGCCACAGTACCTGCCCAGAGAAGTAGGTCAGATATTTTCATCAAGCTGTCTTAGAGCTTAGCATAAAAACACCAGAGAATAAAAATATCATATATTATGATCTAAGAAAGTCAAAATCAATTATGCTGTACTGAGAAGTCTTTGAACTGACTTCGCATTATGTAAAATTAGAAATGAAAACATGTTCCGTCTCTCTACCCCTGTGTTAAACACACACGTACACGCACACCCACACACAAAGCTCCTTTTTATTATTTTCATTATTCCTCAATTATTTATATTGCTGACTTTTTTCTCCAGATAAACTCAGAATAATGTATTGTGTTCTAGATTTCCCACTCAATAAGAATATTGAAAAGCTAGAATATATTCGGACGGGAACAATTAAAACAGGGACAGGTGTGGACCCAATGGCATAACAAGTGATAGGAAACTACTATTAGCCTTGGAAGAGAAGGCAGTGGAAGAGAAGATAGTCATCTTCACACATCCAAATGCCATCTTCTGAAAGACCAGTGTGTGTGTGAAGCTCTGGAGAAAGGAATCTGGAAAAAATGACTAAAACTCACAGAAAGGGGGAGTTGGGCTCAGTTT